ATCCTGTAGAAGGATATTTTTAAGCTTGCCTGTTTCAAATTATGAAGTAGGGATCATATTTTGATGTGTGATTAGAAAATGAAAACAAAGTCGGATTTTAAGACAGGTACAGGGGAAGTCTGTGTTCTAATCACATAGGTCGAAGTAGGGAACAAACAACTTTAAATAGTGAGAACTCTTCACTACAACAAGGAAAATGAATTACCTACTAAGAAACTAAATCGCCATTAATTTTGTTAGAAAAGCGATCGATTTCGAGTTTATTTAAACCCATTATCAAACAGTTTTATCATCGATAAAGTGATAAATAATGAAATTCGTGCTAGTTGATTCTACCGAAAACATTTTCATAGTGATCTCTAATCCGAATAAAAGATATGGCCAATTAAAACTTCTTCAAATGCCACCCTGTATAAATCTGATCTAATTGAATGCAACTTTTCGTGAATTTGGTTGGTTGGGTCACCCTATATCATCTTTAGGCGTAGTTAATTTGAAATTGAACATAATTTCGTTAATGTTATTTGAATTAGAAGCCAACGTGATTTTGTTTAACAATTATTTAATGTTGGTTATTTTGTTTAAATAATCGCTTGTTTTTTGTAAAGAAATTACGTGTTAAAAGATTGTTTATTCTTATGTACAAATGCTAACTCCGGCTATTTTAATTAATTAGTTCTATCGATCGCTTGTGGCGTGATGTATTTGTATTCTAGTTCTGAGTACCTATTTTTCGTTCAGTTTATTTGATTGATTTATGTCGAATAAATTTGTTTTGTTATATTTAATCGAGCACAAATTACGACCCAGAGAAGTTCTCGAGCTAGAGTTATGCTGGGTGGCGGGACGCCCACGCCCACACACCTGAATGATCGTAAAGTGGCTCGTGCTTCGGTGTGGGTAGTGACCATTATAAGGGGCTCGTCGGGATTAAAACCTGAACTGGACCAACTTCTGCGTGGCACTGAAGTGCAGTGTCGATAACGGTGGCCGTCGCATACCCAGCGACCTCCAAGTGGTGGCCTCTTTCCATTTCTGCACTACTCTTGCGAATTGTATTGACGTTTTTGGGCTCCTCGTCAGGGAGACCAACAAACTAGCTGGCCCTCAAAAGTGGTTCGGTAACGCGGCAGGCTCCTCGAAAGAGGAGAAGGCTCCAACGAAGGGCTTTACTCAAAAATCTGGTAGTGGACCAGCAAGAAGAATACGACTGGCGCGGCGTACAGAAAGTGATGGCCAGGAAGCGCTGGCTCGAGGGTAAAACTTCAGGTCAAGCGGAACCTGCGCTAAACCGAAGGCTGTGTCTGGGACGTTGATTCAGAGAGCAACCGGACGTCAGGGACCAAGAATCTCAGATCAAAGAGAAGCACTTCATGGTCTGGCTCAGGGCAGTCTGAGAAGAAACCTAGAGGTTCTGGAGCACCCAAAGTTGCGAGTGCCTATCCCGAATCCGAAGAGTGCCATTGTGATCGAATGCGAGGACTAGTAAACCTTGGGCTGGAGGGTGTCTGATGCACCGTCGCTTTTGGGCCACAGGTACATCCTTTCCCAACTAAACCTGACTGCACACCGCTGGCGCTGTAGCTTTTGGAATTCCCAACCCATTGCCTGGAACTGCAATATCAGAGCGGTTGGATGAGCTACCTTTGCTCTGTCAGAAAGCAGGATAGGTGGAAGACGCGGCCGCATTAGTAAGCAACGACATATGAAGGCAATTGTACACTGCGAACCTTTCGAGGAACTCAAGACCTTGAAAAGGTTCGTAAAGAGCTTCGCAGGCTCTTTAATAAGATCATATGCGAACTAAGCTGCCTGTGGACTGGGAAGATCTCACTATTCGAAGGTCTAAACGAGGATCATCGAGAGATGCCTGATCAAAAAGTGGGGACACTGTGAGGCAGATATACCGGGGCGAGGCTCTCACCTGTCTCCTGGAAACACACTTTCCAGGCTCTAGGGACTACGTAACTTTCGGAGCTACCCAGATTGGTGTAAGGCCCACCTACTGGAAAGTAGCTGCCCGTGTGGTTACCGAGGGATTTCTGATATGGGCGTTGAGGCCATTTTAAGAGTGCAGGATCGGACGGGATATTCCCGGCTTTTGTGGAAAAGGGCCTGGAACCACTGCTGTCACATTTATTACATCATTTTAGAGCCTCCCTGAAAGGTGGAGAAAAGTAAGGAATTGTGTACCTACTTACCTAAGCTGGGTCGTGCCGAATATGATATGCTGAAGGATTACAGGCCCATCAGCCTATCATCGTTTCTTCTAAAAACGGTGGAGAAGCTGGTGGGAATGGGGTATTGGTCCTTAGACCATTAGATCAATTCCAGTACCCTTACAGGGCTGGTATGTCCACTGAGACGGCTCTTTACAACCTCGTGTGCAGGCTGGAGAGGGGAATGCCTGCAGGGAGGGGGAGGCAGGGAGCATTTCTGGACATCGATGGTGCATTTTTAACATGTTAACAATTAGTGAAGCAGCCTTACTGAGGCTACTGAAGGCTTGAACTTTGATGAGTACATTGAGCGAATAAGCTAAAGGGCCACTGTATGTCTATGAGCATGTAGAAAGGCTTTTGGCTGAGAAATATGACATGTAGTCCAGTAAAAGTAAACATTGACCCAGAAATTTGAAAAAACAAGCTGAAAATTGGCATACTTGATGAGGATGGTGCTAGAACTAAATCCTGAAAAGTCCCAAAAGATCCCGGTTGGGGAACGGACGCCATCTTGAAAAAACGACCCCTAAATTTGATTTTCCGATTTTTGAGCATAACAAGTGAACGGATGGTCCAAATTTCGTCGTCAAGGTTCGGATAATTAGTATTGATGTTTCTAATCGTTCTTCTTGACGTTCTCTATCTGAATGTCAAAATTTCTGTTTAAAAAAACCTTCAGAGTTCAGAACAAGATTGAGAGTACTAACTAAATGAACACAATTTTATTCATTATATTTTTCATTATTATTTGCAGTCAGGTTAAGTTGCACGTAATAGTTATTTATGCATCAAGGGCATTAAGGCGATATTTATGCCGAGGGCGACAGAGCCCGAGGGCCTCCGGCCCGAGGGATTGTAAGTCGCCCGAGGGTTAAATATTGAGAAATGCCTGAGGTGCATACAACATTTTATTTTTCATTGTTCTAAAGAATGCATTGCCAATATACAAATGTCATGATTATTGTTTTCCCAACATTAAAGTGCTTCATACGAATCAAGTTGCATCTTTTTTATTACATAATATAACTCCGTCAGTCAATTTGACAGGCCGTTTGAGGGCATGAGATGACAATCCATTATGCCCTCTCATTATGCCCTTGGGCGTAATAGACTGCTTCATATATCACATATGACGGATATAACTGACATATAATGGACAAATGCCAAATAAAAAATATTTAAATGCATTTTACAATTAATGTAAATAAGCGGAATCCTTTCAACTATTCGCACATAACTAAAAAAACGGCGTGAAAATAATCAATCCATACACAGGTTTTAAACTGGAAACATTCTGAGACCGAACGACAACACAATGGCGAAAATCTATACTATGAGTAAAAATCAGACACCGATCTACTCTTACAAAAGTAACCGTTACACCTGAACGCACGGTATCGAAACGTGATATAAATTTGGGTGTTTCGTTACTAAGAAACCGTAGCTTCCAGATTTATTTATTTCTTTTAGGAATTGGAAACAGAAGGTGATTTAACTTCTAGCGCCCCTTTAGCTGCCGACGAGGAAACCAGTTTCCGTATTACATAAATGAACACTTTCTAAGATAACCGTTCCTTTTGCTATTTAGGTAGTAAGGTTACACAAGATAATCGTTGCAAGGAAGATATAAAATCCAGGGTAGCGCAGGCTAAAAAAGCATTAGAATAAACGTGGGACCTGCTAAGATCCGAGATAAATATAGGAATTAGGAAAAGATTGCTAAAAACGTACAAATGGAGTGTAGGTCATACAGGTGCGAAACCTGGACGATAGGCAGGCAAAAGTAGGATGGAATGAGGATTAGCTGGATGGATAGGGTAACAAACGAAGCAGTCTTGGAGCTAGTACAGGAAATAGGGAAATGAAAACCGTACAGAGAAGACGAGATACAATGATAGCGAACGTGCTAAGACACGGAGGAATAGCACTACTAGCTATAGAAGGTAGGGCAGAGCGCAAGACCGGAGTTAGGGACGTAGGCAAGGGTAGTTATGTAGAACTGAAAAGATTAGCGCAGGATAGGAAAAGGTGGAGGACTTCGTCCAACCAATCCTAGGATTGCGCAAACAAAACAACAAATGCCGAAAACGTGAAAAATCCAGGTTGGGGGTGATTTTCCTAAAAAAGTTCGAATTTCCAAGGGTGTCTTTATGTGCCGAATTATGTTTTTACTCCAAATACACATTAAAACAAACATTTTGACACCTTAGCAACGAGAATCAGACCATTGGTTCATTAGTTTTGCTCAAAACTGGAGAAATCGAGTTTAGGGGTAGTTTTTTCAAGATGGCGTCCGTTCCCCAACCGGGATCTTTTCGGAAATTGGTTCTGGCACTATCCTGAACATGTCCGCCAATTTTCAGCTTCTTTTTTTCAAATTTCCGGGTTTGGCCCTTATTTTGTCTAATTTGACTGGACTAATGTTCTAGAACGTTCGGAAATGTTCGGGTTATTATACATTTTGTGGTATCCCAAGCTGATTTTAGTAGATATCTCTCAATTTCCATGTTACCAGACCTGTTCATGGATTTTTATTATTTCCGAAACTGTAGAAATAGTAAATTGTCACACCTAAATTACAAGATAAAGTTGAGATAAAAATAATTAAGTTTTGTGTATTTTGTTAAAATTAAACAGAGTAAATAATGATTTATTTAATAATTACCTACATCACAGAAGGAAATTAAACGTGTATTATCAGTCTAATGATAAAAATTACTATTAACATTGAGCAAGTAATAAAAATTAAAACACTGACACTGTATACTACAAAACAGTTAGAATGACCTAACTATCTACACGTTTAATACAAAAAATTGACAATAAATTTCAAGGTTTCTGTTCAATAGCTACATTATCACTGGTTAAAATACATTAATCTAATATAGGTACATTATAAACACTATGTACAATTTGACTTTGGTAATTAATGTTTATACAACTAAATTTCATCTGGCAAGTGGCATGGCACTGACATTACGAAATTGAGCAGACAAATGAATACTAGACGTTTTCAATCTTATTCGGTATACTTGTACTAATTGCAGTATATGAGGGGGTATCTTTTCGCCTGAATGTCACATAGGTATATACTAAGCTACCTAAAACACTAACATTTAACCCAATAAAATTCACCCACGAAAATATATAATCGCCCCCGATAATCATACCTAAATAGGTCACACAAATATTTTTTAAGCAACCAATGATGGTAGTGGTCAAGGCGGAGTTATAATGCGTACAGAGCACTACACTGTACGATAAAACGAATCCCATTACACAAGACAGCAAGTACTGGCTTAAAAAAAGTACATCGCCCCACGATTCATACTCGTACGCTATTCTCAAATCGCCTGTACAAAAACACAATATAAAAGCGGGCACAAACATAAACAGCGAATTATAGTACACCAATCCATACTTCCCCAGCTCCTTTGCCTCCAACTTTTTTTTCATGTACACCCCATTCGTCGATGTAAAGAAATTATTTAACATTATGTAAAGATAACCCATTAAATTGAAGGCCAAATCATTACCGGCCGCTATTACGGCACCCAGTATCATTGTGTAAACACTAAATTGCACACCAACGCTTGGTCTTATACCTAAAACGTACAGCTCGGCAATCATGGTCATCAAAATTGAGAATCGCCGTAAGACCGTAAACATTGGGAGACTCAGCTCCTTCGTGCCGGCTAGTCCAGTCAACAGGTTTCCCATAAATATCACAGGGAGCGGCATGATTTTGTTGAAGGTCTTCCATTCCAAGTCGGGAAACCGCACAATTTTCAACTTTTTTGCAAGAAACAGCACCACGATCGAGGCGGATATTTGCCCCAAACCGACGACTTGAAATGAAGGAAAACCATAGGTTGTAAGCACCGTCTTATTGACGACGGTAATCATAAACGACGCAATGCCATATAAAAAAGCCGAACCAATTTTGTTTCGCAATGAAACGTGGCTGGATACGCTCTCTTGTTGGCTGACGGTTACCATTTTTATACAGGAACAATTTACTCGAGAAAAAACTACATTACGTGAGTTCGAAACGCGATGACATTCTAATCAGACAGCGTACATTGCAGAATGAATTAACTTCTCAAAGCTTTCGCGATAGCGGTGGCGACCATTTTCTAGGGACTCGCGCCTCCCACTACGTACGTAAAGTAAATATAAACATAACCTATGTGCAATTCACGAAGAAAGCGTCTCAACTTACGACTAGTTTGTAAAATTGAGTTAATTTCGATTTACTTACCATTATAAACAATTTGATGGATTAAACAATTATAACTTTGCCGCTTAAATTACATTCGCAATTACTGTTCTATTTACATTTGGTGGTGTCAAAACTTCGCGCATGGTCATTGAAGCGCAAGGATTGGGATGCGATCAATGATACACTTCGGCAATATTTATACAAAACGTCAAATACCACACAAGTCGGAAAAATAGAGTCCTTGATTTTACTAAACATAGGGTCAATTGCACCGTCAAATTAAGTATCCTTTAAAGTTAAGCATAACTTAAATACTATAGCAACGATTGTCTTAATAATCGTTGCCATAGATTTTACGTTCGCTTAACTTTAAGCAAGGCTTAATTTTGTTGGTGCAACTGGGATTAGACATACTTCACGCTTGACGCTAGCACAAGTTACGCCCCTCCACCCCTTAATACGTCACCTCAGTGTCATCGGTATACCGTATACACCATATATAAGAGAATATGGATAAACGAGTGGACACGCCTATCGCCAACGTTAGTGGATGGAAATATACTTCTGTCATTAGTTGGGAACTAGGCGCTAATGCGCTTGCGTGTTATTATGAAGTGTTATTTACCATTTACTCCACTTTGACATAACGGATTGAGGTTAAATTGTTTGTTTTGTTTATGAGTTATGAACTTTTGTTTAATTTTAATAGTAAAGAAGCCTTTCGTAGTTATATAAATCAGTATACGTAAGTGATACACAATAATTGTAAAGGAATACCTAATGTTTGGCAATTTTAGTGTGTTCATTACTTAGAAATAAAGAAATGCAGGTACTTGTGGGAAAGTGGATTCTTCGGTTTCATGGCACAAGTAAGTTACAATGCAATTATCTGCAATCAATTCATTTATGCCATACTTGTTATTAGATTCCCAAGTGAAAAAAGCAACAAGAATCGGTGACTGCAAGCATGTGAACTATCGGAATTCGATGATGTAAAAACAAGGTTGTGTTCTCGTCATTTTAACCGCTATGACTGCATTGATTTGGATGCACGCAAGCATGATGGGGGCACGAAGTTATATGGGGGTCACTTAACACCTAAAAGATTTCCAACTCAACAATGTTAATTTTATTTTAAAATCAGTAAATGTCTTTAATTTAATTGTGTTTCTTTGAACATTGGTAATGTATCACTTTATATTATAGCTGATGCGAACTTATCCAATTTCATGTTATATTCAAGATATAATCCCTATAGGTATATTATTTCAATTGCAATTTAAGTTTCTAAATCGTTACAAAGTTTGCCTTCGAAGTTGAAGGGTGTAACCGTAAACAAACTCCGCTGAGGAAGCTCGAAAGTTCTCCGTGAAAATGCTACAGTTTCCAAGCGGCGGCGATTGGTCTTGAGAGGGTGGGCCTCGGCCACCTAGTATACTTATCTAAAGACATCACAGGATCAGACAATAGTGATAGGAGTCGGCAGGTGGAATGGGGCCAATGTGGTGAATATGAACCTGCATGAAACGAATAGAAGTCTGGGTGAAGTTTCCAAATGGTGCGTGGTTGTGTTTACATATATGGTAATTGCACACAATAATGGTTTAATAAAATTTTAACCCTATTTTCGAGTTATAGGTTATGAAATTTGAAATTGGCGCTACTTAAAAGTAGGCGGAGAGAAGTAAATATTTACTTGGGGAGTTTGCGCATACATACAGAGTTGAGGACTAAGGAATAGGGCAGCTCTCTTTTATGGCGAACAATTTGCACATTGCAATCATAGGCGGTTATCCATATATATGGATAACTTCCATATATATGGATACTTCTCTTATATATATGGTATACACAGCGCCAGCATATTGTGATAAATGTTGTAGTCACGAACTTATAAATTAAGATGGACTGCTGATCAAACAGTTGCATAGAGGTAGAAATGGCTCTAGCATGGGCGCGGTCATGATGTGCACTTTATTTTCTAGGGGAATTTTCCTAGTGCTCAAGGTTTGAGACTATTGCAGCCTTGGAAAATGACATGTGTCACAGTAATTTATTTAGAAAACGTGAGGTTAATGCTTGTTTATTAGTTGATTTGAATTTCGCGCCAAGTAAGTGCACATCATGGCTGCCCCCATGTAGGTGTCATTTGTCAATTCAGCATTAGCAGTCCATCTTAATTTATAAGTTCGTGGTTGTAGTGTACTTAACCCCCAGGTTGTACGCTAACTTCACACTACAAGAACAGCGAAATAAAGTCAATTCGTGGCGGTTTGCACGGACAAATTTAAGCGGCGCTTAGCTTAAGTGTAGCTTAAAATCATGGCAACGATTATTGAGACAATGGTTGTCATGGATTTTAAGCTACACTTAAGCTAAGCGCCGCTTAAATTTGTCGGTGCAAACGGCCATCGGCAACGTTTAAAAAATGGTCATCTAATATGCATTCCCTAAACTCCCAACATGTCAAACTGACGTTCAGTTGGTCAAATAAAAAGTAAAGACCATCATACAATGCAAAAAATAAGAAATAAGAAATAATGAATAACAATTTTTAATCTACTGATCTTTATGGACTTGCACACAACATTGAAATATGAAATAAGCCTAGGAAATTTAAAAAAATCGTTCAGTCGAGTTTTTATTCCTTTTATTCATATTGCGAACCAATGACATTAGAAGAGGCGCGCACGCGTATTCTATATTTATTATTTTATCTTGTAAACCTAAAATAAAACAAGTATGAGGTGTTGTTTTTGGGAAGTTATGAACTTGGAAGTTGGAATTATATTTGATCGGTCGGTGCAATTAGCCTGCTATTGCCTTACATTTAACTGCCATTATAATGACATAAATTCAAACGGCATGGTGTTCTGATTGGCTTATAGTCTGTTGCTATTTGTTTGTTGTGTTTTGCGTGTATCTACGGCGTCACTATTTCTTATTCCATATTTCATATTTCTTATTCCTTATTTTTTTCATTGTGTGATGGGCTTTACTGTCGTTATATTGGTGTCAATTTTACTGAAGGTTTAACAACCTGGACGTTGACACTTGATTTGAAATTATTTAATCCATATTGTCACTTTTTATTGGGAAATCACATAACCTATCTTTCAATTTTATTAAACAAGTTGTAAATCAGCATATGCATGATTAAAGCGCATTTTTGGTAATACAGGTCAGTATTTTATTAGCGAAGTTTAAATTATCGATCTCACAAGTAATTTTGGCTGCTTTAAATAATTAATTTTATTTAATTTCAATTGATCGTACGTCTTTATTTTGTAAAACAAATCACAAAGAAAAACATTAGGTTTTTATACTGGTAGCGCTACCTAACGGTAAAATTATAGCACCTCCGAATTGAAATTATTTTCTTAAATTATCGATATCACAAGTAATCTAACTCAAAATAGACTAGAACCTGCACATCTACACTATAACAGAAAGCTTTTAGTGAAAATTTGAAGTCTCTAGCTATTGTAGTTGCTGAGATCCAACCGGACAGCCGGCCAACCAGCCATAACGAATATAATAGCGTATTTTTTTTCAAAAATGTGCTAAAAATTTGCAATTTTATAAATGGAACATCTTGTATATTTTTTGTGTCGTCTTAGCTGCTCCAAAAACCTTTAGCTAATGGTAATAATATCCTATAAGTACTTATCTCTGATACTTTTCGAAATATCTTGAATAAGTTATAATCGTTGACTCACCCTGTATAACTGAAAATTAGCTACCTCATATATCATTAGATGACAAAAATATCTTCTTTCCATAATGTCATTATAAACCCTCTAAGTCAGTGGTTCCCAAACTGCGGGGCGCATTTAAAACTAGCATCTTGCAGAGGGAAAAAAGTGGCCATAATAATGTGTCATTTATTTTGAAATATCTCTTCAAATAGCTTCGGTAAAAAATAAAAACGATTTTGCAAAATTTCGTTTTTTTAGGATATCTTCGAGTAGTCGGAATTTTTTCAGTTTCAAAACGGCAATTTGTTAAGGATCAAAATACGCAACTTTGCCAATTTAAACTACCTACCTCTTACAGTTTCCGAGATCCCCATATGGTGGTCCTCGAATTTGAATCAGCCTATATAGTAAAGTCGAGTGTTCCCGAACGGTCGCGAACCTTCTAGAATCAAATATTTCAAGTCACATCTGCGTTCGTTCTTTATTGTCGATGACGAATCTTTCATGGTGCCTCGAAGTCTATCGAAATTTCTCGAGTGTTCGATACAATAATGAAGGGCAGAGATCATGGCAAAATAAATTTGCATGGAATGTAATTATGAATAAATGAATAAATTGTATTTACTTACATTAATTGTAGTAGTATCTATTTATTTTTGAAGTGTACAGGGAATGAAATGTTATAACACAGATTTAAATAGTATATTTAAATAGTATATTTAAATCTGTGGTTATAATAAAGCGACTTAGCAGCATCTGGATAGTATATAGGTATATATATACACGAAGCAACTACCTATTGCTTTTGAATATAAAATATGTTTATAGTCAAAGCTATTACTATTATTACTAGTATCAGGTGTTTAATATAATTGTTCTGGTACTTTTAGTTAGTTGAATTATGTCTTTTTAGCATAAACGCCATAAGCTGTTTTGTGACAACTGCCAAACACGGCCAATCTATTATTTTACGTTGTTACAGATCTCTAACTCAGTCGTAGTAACTATTGAAAAAGAAGGTTCTTTGATATTAGTTAATATTTTATACAACGTTTCTGCTTTAAAAATGCCTTTATTAGAAAAGTCGCGGAAGTAAAAGCAGAAACTTCGAAACCATTTACAGAGGGCTAACTACCCTATTTATCTCTACTAACACAGACAGTTAACAAATTGGCCGCTATAAGTGTGGCTAGAATCGCTTACTTACACTTGCTTCTGCCAAAACTTATTACTCCAAGTATCTGTCTTATTAACAAGATTGATTTTAGTAATTTGCGACCCTAATTCGCCGCTATTTTGTGTGCCGTTCTTAATTATGGGAGAAACCATTTGGTTTAAAAGGGTTTTTAAGGTACGCACACAAGTCCTTCGTTTCAACGTTATTATGTTATCAAGCCTCATTCTCTTTATTGCTTAATTGTGACCCTTATTGTGACCTAATCATATTCG